ATTAATACTTTAAAAATATTATATTATGTGACATTAAATAATACATTTAATTAAATGAATCTTATATTTTTAAGAGGCATTTTCAAGAATGTCCAATTTTAGGGCTATGAGTTGAAAAATATTCACTTTTTAAATTTAGCACTAAACTGTCTATTATGCCCTTAATGAAAAAGAGAAGCAATTTATTTATTTTTTCAATTTGTTGCAAATTTCGAGAAGTAGCTTCCATGAGAAGTTACATTAAAATGATGTTATCGATATTCAAATGTCATTCTCGATATTTAAATTTTTTTATATTTTAAAAGGACACATGTCAAATCACAATATTAAATGTTCTTGACATTTCAAACGTTGTTCTCGACATTTTAAATATCTAGAATGACGTTTCATTTCGAACATGACATTTCTCTACACTTGAAATGTAATTCTCGATATTTCTGTGTCAATGAGAAAAATAGCATTAATTGTGATTTTATATGTACACTTTTGAAATAAATATGGCAGGTTATGTGTCAAAAATTTATTGATTAATAAAATTTTTGCAAAAAATGTCAATTTTTTATCTTTGTGTGGAATCATAAATTGTTCACGGGGTATTTTGGCCCAAAATATGTCAAAATGGACATATTTGCAAAGATTTGTAAAAGTGTACATTTTTGCAAATGGACATGTAAAAGTGGACATTTTAAATAATTTTCTCTATTTTTAATATATAATTGAATATCATTTAGTAACACTTGTGTAGAACATAGACTTAATGCTATATAATATTATTCGTAAAATTAAATACCATTCGAGTAGACACCACAATTTTTTTAAATTCTTTAAAATTGTTGGAACACTTGCCCAATTCAAGTAATATTCAACTTTATGTCTTATGCAATTCGAGCAACAATAGAATAAGATTTTATCTCCTTCACCGTTATGATTGAATTGTTATCTTTCACTTTTGTCTTTTAACATGTTTTTTCTATACATCTTTGGAAGTAATGTTACTTAACATTACTGGTATTATAAGTTCAGTTTACGTGATATTAAGTGACATCACATGAACTATATAATGTACCTTTAATTGAACATTTCACATAACATCGCTTATACTAATGCATAGCACCAATGGTACTAAATGCTAGATATCATTATTTATTTTTCGAATCTTATCATCAATATATGATCTAGTTTATTAACGAGTATTTTGAAAGGTTAATACTTATTTTTTTAGTTTCATAAATACTTTATGTAAATTAATACAGAACTCAAATTCAATATGAGTGGATAATATTATAACACGTTTTATATTCAATATCTCTTTATGCTTTTGAACACTTCTGACTTTTATCAAGGGCCTTGACGCAATGCATAAATATATCGTTAGTTTTTCGTTACATTCATTTAATACTTTTACTTTGTCATTGTTTGAGTCCCATTTTTTTGAGAACAAATTTAGTAAAAAGTATATATATTTTTTTTAAGAATATGTGATAAAAGAGTAGATATTTTTTAGATTTACTTGTAATATTATTTTATGTGGAGAATTTATGAAAGAAAATAATTTGAAGATAAAATGGATTTTAAAGAATTAGACTCAAATAGGGATTATATCCATTAACGTAATCCATTTGATTATGTTATTAAACACTTATTTGATTGAGATTATTTGAAACTCGTTCTTAATTACACAATCTCCAACTAAACTAATTTTGCCAGTGAATTCGAAACTTTCATGTCTGTTTTAATTACGCATTCTTAAAAAAAAAAAAAATCACATCTCAAAAAATTTCTTCTCAAAAGGTTATTTTCGTATTTTCACACAACTTTCCCATCAAACTTTCTTGTTTGCAAATAGAAAGTCGTGTACAAGTTCATTTGTTCTTTATTAGAGGTG